GAAAAGTAAAACTGCTCCTTAATGGTTTGTCATAATTCTGCCTTGTTTTTACAAAATCATTTTCAAAATCAGTGGAGTCTGAAAAAAATGGATTGTTACCAACCGCATTTTAGTAGTTCAACTTGAAATGTGTTGTTTTTAGTGCAGCACAGAGTGTGTCAGTGTCGGGAAGCACGTCGTCTGCTGTACTATCCTTGACAAAGACACCGAATCTGTGAATAACACGCTGACATACAATACTGAATGTGAAACTATTTCATTTAATAAAATAACTGAGGCCAATAATCTCACAAGGCAAAGCTACAGTCACCTCTTGTCTCTCATAATGTGTTAACAACCATCTTGTGACATTTCTGACTTTTAAAATGTAGACAGAAACTAAAAATTATTTTAAAAAAAACATTCGCCCACACTTCTGTTTCGACGCTGAGCTGACTGTGGCTTCATCACACTGAAGATTTGTTTTCTGCAGCTGGGTTTCATTCTTTCAGAAAAGTGCTACTTGTGAGCATGAAACAGAGAAAACACATCCTCTGCTGCCGTCGCTTCACTTTTCCACTGGGACCTGCTCATCGTAAATGATGTCACACTCACACAGGCACAAACACAATACAAGCAACCTTAATTCACACAGATATACACACACTGATGAACAAAAACTAAGCACTGAGTACAAAGACGGTCGCAAACAAACATTTTAAACACACACATCGAGCAGAAATGATCCTTCTTATACAAGAATAATTTTAAAACCAAGCAGAATGAGATCAAACTGGTGTCCACGCGGCTACAGCAGCTCTCTGCTTCTGTCTCACGTCAAGACTAAAGGAGGATTGGACGGAGCACAATCTAAGCCACTTGTGGCGTTTAAGGAACAAAGAGACAATCAGCAGAGGGAGGGATTTGAACTTTTTGAAGCTGTAATCAAGTTTTAATAAAGGGGCAGCCGGTGCAGAAGAGCTCACACTCTGATAGCTTCAGTTATTGCATGAATGTGGAGCGAGCGCGTTAAAAGTGGGGAAGCAGCTGCGGCTAATTCAGCAGGTGATCTAATCAGCTTATCCAGGTTACATTTAATGAAGTGCGGGTCCTTGTGAGTTCATCCTCGGTCTATATTTAAAATCAAAATGAGTAAAAAAAAAAAAAAAAAGCCAAAGTAAACCCTACATATTCATTACAATCAATATTATTATGAAGGACAGCCAAAGGTAACATTTATTTTTTATATTTCTGTGACAAAAAAAAACCTCGTCCAGATCCCTGTAATGTACTGTACATCCCCATTAAGGCAGTTAATTAGCGCTAACAAGCATGCAGATGAACGAGCGAGTGGTGTCACGCCTGCTGGGTCACTGGCAATTACTGCAGCCGAGGCTGCAGGTCTCCATCACAGCGCGTTTTCCTGTAGCTAAAGGCCACTTGAAGGACCTACTTGTGTTTATGCATATATGAGCTCCATAATGTGTGTGTGCTGAGCTGCTGCGTGGTTGCAGACCAGAGTTGTTCTGTGTTTACATACCTGTGTTTATGCATACTATACGTGTGTCAGCCAAAGGGCAGGTGGAGCCGACAGATTCTGCATAATATTACTGAAAGCTGCGTGGGTGTAAATGTGATGAACAGAGTTTTCTTTCTTTTTTTTTTTTTTTTTAGAACCCTGCTGAGTGGTAAACAGCTTGTTCAAACTGGCAGGCTGGTTGTGGCGTTGCAGGAGCGAAGCTGCCATCAGTAACATCACATGATGCTTCAGATCAAACACGATCAGAGTAGAAAGAGCAAAGTGATTTAATATTCACACCAAGACGCAGCAAGAATGCAGAAACGATCCAGCGATGAAAAGGGGATGGGTGACGCCTTATAGCTTGATGATGTTTAAACAGGACAGATGGTGTGATGTACACTTTTGTAAGCTGGTTAGCTGCCTACACTCTGATTCTTTTCCAGTTTCTGTGTGTGTTTTTCTCTCACTGTATTTGTTGCCCTTTGTTTTGTGTATTTTTACATTTAGCTGGATTAGTTGTGTATTTGTTCAGGATGAGGATGGGCAGCTGTTCAAAAGTTTTTAGTAAGAAATTGCAAGAATGTGTGGGTAAAAACGTTCAGCTCGATCTCCGACAAAGCAGGCGTGTATCCAAATAAACTAAAGTAAATTATTTTCAGTTCTGGAAGAAACTTATTTTCTCTTGGATTTTGCTCAGTGTGTCCTCTTTGTCTTTGCAAAGAAGGCATTTACATCAACAGCACAGGACTGGGACACTGACTGAGGTTCACATCCTCGTGTTGCTGTTTAAGCTCCTAAACCATTTGGTAAATATTAATGAAACATCACTTCTGGTTATTAAAGAGGTCAACTCACTCAATCTACGGGTTAAAAAAAGGCACATTAGCTTTAAAAATAGAAAAACAATTATAAAAATAAAATTGCCAAAATGACAACATTTATTTGTAAAAACAGAAAGCATCATTAGACTTTCACTTTTCCAATGGTCCCTGAACTAAACCTCTATGATGTGTGATTAGATCAGAAAAACTTAAGCTCTCTGTGTCTCCTGTGGGCACTTGGAAAAATATTGTACATGTTGATTCCAGTTTTTTTTCAATGTTAATTGTAAAATAAATCGATTTCTCTCTCCCCCTTTTTTTGTTTCGCAATTTATGCCATTTTAACTTTGTAATGCTGCACAGAGGACATGTTTGATTTCTGTTTTGACTCCTAACCAGGGCTGTGGTGTTTCCACAGAGGTGCAGGGCTTTATATTGTTGTAAAAAATGAGCTCACAGTGAATAAAAAAGGTGACAGGAGCAGAAAACACCCAGAAACTGGGGTTCGGAGGGTTAATTTAACCATTCTTCATTCCAGTCAGGCACACCTCTGTTTATCCATGCATCCTCTTCTACTCCTTAACTCCTGGACCCCATCTATCACTCTGCTTTGAGGTTTATTACCGGTGACGTCCACAGCTCTCATCCTTGTATTTTATATGTTAAGGTTGGGTGGTCTTCTCTGACAGAGAAACACGATCCTCTCTGATATCTTTATATCTGTAAAGCCCTTACTGGAAAACGACCATGTTACTTTTCAGAACTGCTTCACTACTCGGATGGACTTTATCAGACCTGCTGGCTCTTGCTTTAAGGTCCATGAGTTCGATCTGAACTTGGAAAGACTCCTGTTAATTTTCATGCCCCTGACTCCTGGAACAAAATACAGCACCTCCTTAAAATTAATTCACTTACAGTGCTGCTTCAAAGTTCATGAACCCTTTTGAGTTTCCAACATGTCCGCTTAT